TGCGACCAAAAATCGGGTCGCGACCAAATTCAGAGGGGTCAGAACGGATTAACCGTATTTACATTGAACCTTATGGAGAAATTTGATTCAGGTCGCGACCAGAGTCGCGGAATGAATTAAGTTCGTGAACCGAGGTACCACTGTATTAAGAACTCTATACTATTTCCAAAAATGTCACTGATTTAACAATTTGTATACAAGATGTGCAGGACATTCTTCTTAACAGCACAGTGTGAAGTAGCACACAACCTAAATGTATGAAGTTGTGTAGACAAGACAGAACTGATGAAGAAAGATTAAAGTTTATAGAACAGTCCACTCAGAAGTGTACTGAAAATCTAGAGAATAAAGCAAGATAACAACAAGTTTACACATTTCAAATAAATAAGCTTGTTTGTCTTCGAGTCAGTTTTTGACCCCTGGCAACTGTTTGGACTAGTCCCTGCAATTTTCTTGGCAAGGTTTTTTTGGAAGCGGTTTCCTGTTGCCTGCTTCCTAGGGCGGAGAGAAAGTGACTGGCCCAAGGTCACCCAGCTGGCTTTGTGCCTAAGGCAGGACTAGAATTCACAGTCTCTTGGTTTCTAGCCTGGTGCCTTAACCGCTACACCAAATGCTCTCAAAAATAACAAATATTTGCTTGACCAAAATAGCATGGAGTTTCAAATAAAGAAGTTGAACTGCAGGCACTATATAGGTGGTTATCACTAGCCCTTTCAACTTCCATACAATTCAACATGAAATATAAGTACTGTCAGGATCCAATGTAAATTGAAAGGAAAAATTCCTACCAAAGACAATTGCAAGTGTCCTGAAACAGACACCAGGAATATTTGTGGAAGCAATGCAGCTGTTCAGATCCAAAGTAGGAATAATGCTTGGATCTGGTGGGAGTGCTCTCTGTACCTCCTTAAAGAAGTCATGCCTTTTTTGCAAAAAGGGGTAGCTGCTGCAAGCCTAAATCTTAGTAAGAAGTAGATTCATCATGACAAGGGAAGAAACGTACAATCCCTTGCTTTCAGGCCACCTTCCACTTGCCCAAGTAAAATGAATGAATGAATGAAATGACATGCAATGTGTGCTAGCCAGAAATAAGTTGAGACAGATCCATGGTTGTCATGGCAGCCACAAAGGCCAAAGCAGCCCCAAATAAGGCAATCCCCACATGGGCATTCTGGGAGTCATCAACACCAGGTCTGAGATGAGGCTTTGATAAATTTATCAAGCCAGCACAAATACATTAAAATAACAAGAATCAAAAAGACAAGACGACAAATATATTTAATAAATAAATATATGTCACACGACTCCTAGGGATTCCTGGATACTGAAAGAGAGAAGGTGGCAAATGAGACTCCCTGAGAAGGACATTCTGTAGAGAAAGTACCATAACTTTCACCTTCTTCTTTGATTCAGCTTACCTCAAAAGATAAAAGCATCTGAAAGACCTCTGAATGAACCTCAGATTATCATTCTGAGGAGAGATTTGGTACGCTTCCACTTAACCTTATTTGGAGTTAGAAATCTCAAACTGATACATTTTGGATCAGCAGAAATTTCCATAGAGGGGAAAAGCAATTCTTTTCAGAATAGGGACCATCTCCTATACAGTATGAATGTAAAGCTGATTTAAGCAAAAGATGCTCTTCCATTAAATTTATTTCCTATTAAGTCTGAATTAGTTTACTAAGCATAGAAGACAAAATATAAAAAAAATGAATAAAACCAATGTGGTCAACAATCTCAAATAATATTGAAAGTCTTACATGTCTTACAAATTCTGATTTAGATGTTGCATTGGAACTTGAAAGGGCTATAAACAATTCTAAAATAATACATAGAGAATAAAGATGGTTAAATAGTTCTGGCAAACAGACAGTTACCTGATGACAAGAGACGTATTAGTTTCTTAATAAAGAAACGTGAAGGTGATTGCAAAATAATTTTAAATTATGAATAATGTATAATTCAACCGTTTACACCTATGAAGCTCATCCAGCGTATAGATCACAACTCTTCTCATTCTTCAATTATATTTCTGGAGGGCCTTAGGGTAAGAACCTTAAAATGCACACTAACTGAATTTTACAAGCCATACATACTTTTAATATATTGCCAGAACTGGTACTTTCCTCCTCCTACCCCAAAATATATAAGGCTGCAATAATTTATTTTGAAGAGCAGCATACACATTTTTAAAATAAAAATTAGTTGAGCTCTTTTTTATATGGTCCCAATAGCAGTTTGTCACTACTGGTCCTTCATATTCACTTTGCCAACATCAGTGGCCTTTCATATTCACCTAACCCATTCTTCTCATGATTGTTATCATTTTCTCCCTTTCTCCCAGGTTTACTCTGTGGCTGCTATAGCATTCTTCAAACCACTCAGTGATTTATTGCCTTGATTTTACTCTAAAAGCACATACATATTCTTCTATTTCTCCAACTGTAAATCTTTTCTCTGTTCAGTTTCTCCAGTGAAGGTCATTCAGTTCTCTTTCAGTTTATGCCATCCTCTTCAAGTACCTAACTTTTATATTTTAAGAGTGACCCCACTCTATCAACATCCGCTCTAAGAGCATAACCCCATCTCCATAGCCAGTTTCAGTTACAATGAAACTTATGGCATGTGGTATGTATGCACATGAATCCAGCAATCTTTTCCCTCTGAAGATACAGAAGGGTTGAAAGATGTTATATCCAGCTATGACAAATGTGTACATTTTTAAACTAATTGTCAGCACAGGTGCAATATTATCTCACTAATATAAAGTCTTTCACATCATTTATATCTTCCTAAATCATTACCACTTTGAATTGCATGGCCACTACTTCAGAACACATCACAGACCGTTATTCTTGTATCAGCTTCTAGAATGTGAACCAGAAAAAGAAAACTATCTCCTAACTCTGTGCTGTATGTCAGAATAGAGGACTTGTGACTTCCAAATGATGCTGAATGATACCTTTCAGCAGCCCCACCTGTGATTTCAATGGGGCAATGGAATCGTATGACAGAACTATGGCAAAAGATAGGGAGATCAGGGGAAAAAAATGCTAAGAAATTATAGTTCAGTTGAAACATTCTTTCTTCTAGGTCCAGTAACTTCTTATTTCTAGTTGGACTTCAAGGATAATTTATTCCCCTACCCCACCCCATTATGGCTTTTCCCACTGTAGCTTCAGATGCAGCTAAATGATGTAACTGCATGCAAATTATTAGCACAGAAATACTGCAAGGTTCTGAATTAGTTGTAAAAGAGTTTGATACTAAAGTTACTACCTACCATGTTAGGCATTACAGGAGCAGGCACTGGTTTCTTGTCCATTGGAAACTGTGGCAAACTATTAGGTAATACCGGCTTACTTTGCATCTGGGGACCAAGTCCACTGGCTCCAATTGGTTGCCCAGTGTTTTGGCTATATGGCGGGACATAAGGACTGGGGTTGTTCATCATTCCCATCTAAAAATTAAATAAAAAGCGAGAGATTAGTTAACGAGTTTTAATTTTGACTTTCATATCATGGAATATACAGCAAGTAACTAATATTTTGATGCCACAAACTATCTCGACAGTGCAATATACTCTAGCATAGCCCTGTCTCTATCTCCTTCCCAACCTCTCATGAATGCCAACCTACTAAGGAATTCTTAAAAAAACAAAGCAAAACCATTCAATATTATTATTGGTAACAGTTCATTTCTAGTTCATTCTCATATGTTCTTTCCCAGATAATTAAACTTACAATTTCCATTGGTGCTATTCACATTGAATTTAAAGAGTTCATAACTGAATATATATTTGAATATGCTTCAGTTTGTTATTTGTTGTTCAGTCGTTAAGTCGTGTCCGACTCTTCGTGACCTCATGAACCATATTGCGCCAGGCCTTCCTGTCCTCCACGCCAGAAGTCACGTCGAGCAAGGTTAGCGTTCTCTCTCTTCGTACTGCACTGTACTGTATTTTG